CAGTGACATGCTCAGTGCTCAGTGACATGCTCAGTAACATGCTCAGTGACATGCTCAGTGACATGCTCAGCTCAGTGACATGCTCAGTGACATGCTCAGTGACATGCTCAGTAACATGCTCAGTGACATGCTCAGTGACATGCTCAGTAACATGCTCAGTGACATGCTCAGTGCTCAGTGACATGCTCAGTAACATGCTCAGTGACATGCTCAGTGACATGCTCAGTAGATGCAAGTTTAAATTCTCTCCCATAATGCAATGCCCATATGCTCAGTAACATGCTCAGTAGATGCAAGTTTGAATTTTCTCCGATAACGCAATGCCAATATGCTCAGTGACATGCTCAGTAGATGCAAGTTTAAATTCTCTCCCATAATGCAATGCCCATATGCTCAGTAACATGCTCAGTAGATGCAAGTTTAAATTCTCTCCCATAATGCATTGCCAATATGCTCAGTAACATGCTCAGTAGATGCAAGTTTGAATTTTCTCCGATAACGCAATGCCAATATGCTCAGTAACATGCTCAGTAGATGCAAGTTTGAATTTTCTCCAATAATGCATTGCCCATATGCTCAGTAACATGCTCAGTAGATGCAAGTTTGAATTTTCTCCAATAATGCATTGCCCATATGCTCAGTAACATGCTCAATAGATGCAAGTTTGAATTTTCTCCCATAATGCATTGCCAATATGCTCAGTAACATGCTCAGTAGATGCAAGTTTAAATTCTCTCCCATAATGCATTGCCAATATGCTCAGTAACATGCTCAGTAGATGCAAATTTAAATTCTCTCCCACAATGCATTGCCCATATGCTCAGTAACATGCTCAGTAGATGCAAGTTTGAATTTTCTCCAATAATGCATTGCCCATATGCTCAGTAACATGCTCAATAGATGCAAGTTTGAATTTTCTCCCATAATGCATTGCCAATATGCTCAGTAACATGCTCAGTAGATGCAAGTTTAAATTCTCTCCCATAATGCATTGCCAATATGCTCAGTAACATGCTCAGTAGATGCAAATTTAAATTCTCTCCCACAATGCATTGCCCATATGCTCAGTAACATGCTCAGTAGATGCAAGTTTAAATTCTCTCCCATAATGCATTGCCAATATGCTCAGTAACATGCTCAGTAGATGCAAGTTTAAATTCTCTCCCATAATGCATTGCCAATATGCTCAGTAACATGCTCAGTAGATGCAAGTTTAAATTCTCTCCCATAATGCATTGCCAATATGCTCAGTAACATGCTCAGTAGATGCAAGTTTAAATTCTCTCCCATAATGCATTGCCAATATGCTCAGTAACATGCTCAGTAGATGCAAATTTAAATTCTCTCCCACAATGCATTGCCCATATGCTTAGTAACATGCTCAGTCGACTTTTCAACACGTCATTTGCATAAGTGCACTTTTAATAAAAGCAAACACTATTTTAATAATAATATTTTTGACTCTCATACAACTCAATTGGAGATGTACTTTTAATGGAGAAAATACAATATTGAAAGCTGAGAGCATTCATAGAGCCTATTATGCACACATTGCTGGAAAAAAAAAGCCAGGATTCTGGTTTGTTCAAATTACTGATTAAAAATACCCTAATAAAGTGCAACTTCAAAGAACTGCGCTTTAAAGATTCCCTTACTTTTCAAATCTAAGATTCTCCCAGTAGTTGGTGATTCAGATGTAGAAAGCTGTTCACGTAATTTTTCAATGTCATCAGGATGTACAAGGTCAAATAATGTGTTATTGAACCATTCAGACTAGACAAAAAAGAAAAGATAAGTTAATATAATTTTAAATGCTCACATTATGAGTACCGGTATTGCACTGCAAGTAAAGCATCTGTATTACTCCCACAAAGCATTGCATATTTAGTGAAACCAAAAACACAGAGATTATAATATACTGGGTAAGTAAGGAATTTAGGAGCAGCACACAGTATTGGAATCACCTAGTTGTCATGAAGATATTAAGACAATCCATCAATCTTTATGTCATTTTTGATATACTTTTATTGTTATGGGCTTAATGCCATCAAGCATACCGAAAATTAGGGTCACTTGACAGTTGGACCAAATTTGTATTTTTTTACTGGTTTCCATGGTGAAATTACTTAATATCTCAAAATTATGCCCAGTGACATGGATGAAAATGTCACATATTATCATTGATATGAATTGTTAAAACAATTAAAAAATATTGCACATATTTATGCTATTTACCAGTAAGAAAATAATTTCCAATTATATACAGACAATATCTCCCATATGTGCAGAATTTTCTATGTGCAGCAGGCCCCCCTCGAGTTCTAGTGGTCAAACCCTTGTTATAAAAAGTTAAATTAAAGCGAGGAAGTCGTCACCTACGCATGCGTCAGGTGGCCATAGCATATCATTGTTTACAAACAAGCATCTACCCATGAGCCTTTTTGCGTGTGTTGTTATCGTCGCTTGGGACTCAATTCCTACGTGAGTGCAGGTGACGAGCCTACGCTTTAATTTAAATACCTGTGTTTGGTTTAATACTGGTGTGACTGAGTCTGATACATAAATTACTCTACCAGTCTCGCAGGAAATGACAAATAAAAACCCATCTGCCGCCTGGAATAGAAAGTGAAAAAAAAATTTCATGACATAAAACAAAGACATATGGAAAGTTTTCCTGAAATTTGCAAAAAATATGTCTTATATCAATGCACCAAAAAAGTTATACTGGCAAAGGCAGGACTTTTTTTTGTCTTTATTTAAAATAAATATTTTTGTCAAAATACAGTCCATCATCCAGTCATTAAAGTAGTAGAGCAATCTTTTTGATGTGGAGTCTCATCAACACTGGCGCCCTCAAGAGGTGGCCTTTCAAGTTATCTTTTACGAGATTGATTTTCATGCAAGGAAGAAATGAAAAGTGAAAGACAAGTTGAAATGTGCACTTGACCTTCAGATTCAAGTGGATGTCGATATCAAGTAAATTAAGACTGACTGATTTAACTTACTTCTAATATTAGGTGTTTGAGTTCCTGATCTGTCAGAAACGACGGCTTATATGTGCCTTCTGTACTTGTATTTCCGGTCCCTGTAATAAAAATTTATGATATAATTATAATAAATATTTATTAAAATTGTTTCACAGGCGGTTTATTTCTACTGCATTGGTACATCATGTTTATGCTCATACAAATCTCAGGAGACGCAATGTGTGAATACCTTCCCTGAGTCAGCTGTGTCCTTTCAAAGATGAGGTACTTCGTGAATATTCAGTACCAGACTGCTTTTCAACACATTATGCACACACTGTACAGAGCAGTGTGCCTTCTAAGCCAATATTGTGCACCACTGACGCACACAGACTAGCTGTGTCGCAATTAGTTGTCCTAATTCACTGGCACATCATTGACGAAACAGAAAATCACACTTTGGTATAGTGATCATGAAAAACATCTTAATATAATTATGAATTTTGTACGATAATTTGGTAAAATGAAAACAAACTTGGGATCACTTTTCATTGCTCACAAAGCATGAGAGTTAGCTTCTCAGGGGATCTTCATCGCATACACATGGTTATTATGGTAAAGTTGTATACCTTTGTCATGTTAGCCATACTGTACATTCTGTCCCTATAGCATCTCTGTCAACTTCATCCAACATTAAGTTCTCACTAGCAAACCTGTCCCCCCTCCTTGGGCCATATCCACTAGATACATTAACTACAACCCTGACCCACAGCAAGTAATATCCTCTCCAACAACGACGTACCTCGTAATGATTTCATATGCGATACAGCCATACGTAATATGGTTAATTTATCGGGTTTCCTTGCCAACGCACTGCATGTTGGTACCATATCAGATAATTCAGTAATATACGCTGTCATCTTGTTACGTCTTCTTCTCTCAATTTCACTATGATTCTCTCTGCATAATAATAAAAAGAGAAAGATATTATAGGCTAGATTATTTCAGATAGGGGAGGTGATAGATGAGTGTGGGCTATTAAGTATGTTGATGAGAGGGAGAATAACCCACTATTATTTCCCTAATTATTACAGTGATACTCATTCATATTATTGATCCAATATTATTCGATTGTGACTCAGTGCTTTCTTGAATTTTATACATGTGTATTATTATTGTGATTATTTAATTATTCGTCTTTATTACATGCTCAACTCGAGAAGAGGTAGCACAAATCATGTTAGCAGACGCCATTTCAAACGCTATTCTCTTATTAACATAGCTCATAGCACTATGAACCAATCAGCACCAAGCCCACTAAAATTTGTTACGGTGGCCGATCCTATCAAGGCTATAAAAGACCTGGATACTTGTTTTAGCGCGCGAGTACATGTAACCTTTTCCAGTGACGAGTTAATAAACGTAGCTATATGATATCATTCTACTTATTTCCTGTTCCTTCGATTGACCGACTCTGATGTGATACAAGTGATGCAATATGGGATACTCAAACTTGTTTCTATAGCAACAAGGATAGACATGTTTTATATTTATATGTTAATAATTAATAATTATGTTTTTTGTGTTATATTTAAATAGGTGATTTTCCATTCACTGTGTGATCTTGTTAATATTGTGTGATATGCACGAAAATCTAACAATTTGATTTTAAACTTGATTTCTCTATTTGATAGTTCAATGTCAAAATGAAGAATATGCTACATGTATTTAGATACACTTACTCTATCCATTGACAATCATGAAATGTGTATAGCACATTATGAGATTTGGAAATACCCCCAAAACACACAATGTTTTGATGTCACTGCAATCCTATGAACTTTGTTTGTCCTGTTTTTATATACAATAAGTTTGCGATTGGCAAAAATCTTTGATTTTGATGAATTTTCAAAATTCAAAAGGCTGCCATTCAGCCATCTGGAATCTTATCATCAAACTATTATATGTGCATGTGTGACATGATGTATGATATAAATATAAAGAGTTTGAACATGATTGGTATGCAGGAACAGCATTCATTAAAACAAAATGGCCGCCAGTCAGACATTTTAAATCTGATCTGAAAAGCAAAATGATGTGCATCAAGGCCCTATAATGTTCACTTCTGTACTAAGTTTGAACAAAATGCATACACACAGACGAGATCCTGTCCCGAAATGGCAGAAATGCCTGATTTTGATAAATTTTGGGCACAAAAAAGGCCATCTTGAATCAGAAAATGAAACAAATGATATGTCACCTAAGATATGTGATGTAATCGGGAAGTTTGAATGTGATCGAATCAGGCATGTCTGAGATACAGGTGGAGACGCCCAAACACACACATGGAAGTCAAAACATAAGACTGCATCCAATCGGGGAGTACCAAAGATGATACCATAGTTTTTTGGGGAAATGAATTAACAATGATGATTCCATTTGAAACGTAAAGAAAACAAGACTAGAATTTGAATTATTCAGAGTGACAGCCAAGCTGACATTTAGCAGAAGTGTTAATTATTCAGTACTGCAACATATTCTGTTTATTTTCTCCTAATAAAACATGTTTTGCATCAAAATGTCAACTTTGCCCATATGTTTCAGATCCCCACGAGACACTAATATACAAACATCTGAGGGGTTTACCTAAAATGCTCATTATATACATGTAGATTAATTGTTTAAGTCTAAATTCATCTATGGTGACACACCAGTTATTTTTTGTTTTTCTCTGCTTATTGTTTTTAACACCTAAAATGATAACCTTTAATGTAAATATCACATTTCCCATGCCCATGATATCGTATGATAACAGATAATAGAATTTATAAGGTCAGACTTAATCTTGTTTTAAATAAAATACATCTCAAAAATTGCTAAAGAAGGCAGAACCACAAATTACTTGTCATTGGACCAGTTTGCACCAGCTAGATTTCATTTAGTGCAAAAAGAATCATCACTCAACCATTGTCTGCACTGTGAGATTCCAGAACTCAGACCGAGAGTTTCCAGTGCATCTTCCAAACAAATCTTGAATGTTTTAATGTTTGTTGTAAAGTTTCTGGTTTTGTACAATGTTTAAAAGACATCAAAAATGAGTATAAAAATTTTTAACTTTTTGCAAAAAGATAAAAAAATCATTTGTCTTTGATTTCAACTTTTCACAAGTTATTTTTTACCTCTGAAACCTTGAACAAAACTTTGATGTTGCCATTCTCATGTGCCAGAGTATTTTTTCGGATACACCCCAAACATACCCTGGCAAAATACACAGACTAGACCTGTATTTGAATATTCATGAGTAGTAAAACTTCATGAAAGCAAATATCCAATCAGCATTTGATTTAAAATGAGGGAAGGGATCAATGGCTTCTCCACTGTACATTGATTGGTTCCCTGTGATGGAAGAGAATCATGCTGATTGGAGCATTTTCAAGGTATTGGATAGTATATTTTACTTAAAGCTTTTTTGTGGTTACTGTCACGTGCTGCAAAGAGGCCAGGGTTTTATGACGATGACAACAAGGTGATAGGAGTAGAAATATAGATGTGATACATTTCTTTAACATAGATATTGAAACTGACTTAAACACGTGTAGAATTAAAGTAAAAATATGTACTGGCATATACAACATATGTACATGTTTATGGCATACCGAGGTACATGTTGAATGGTAAACTAAAGTTTGTCTTCTGACAAACCATTTTTTGCTCTATTAGAATTAAAATTGCATACTTATTGTAAATTTTTCACTCATCAAGCTACCACATAGTGTCTAAATTGACTGATTTAGTAGGTATCTTTAATCAACATGGAATCCCAATAAAGAAGTTGCATCAGTGTGTTGACTGCTGAGAAAAGAGATCGTCCATATTGATGAGATCCAAAAACAATTTTTGGGATCTTGATTTTATTTGTCTTCAAACTTATTTTGTTCATAAAATTTTCTTTAATCAAACTGCAAATTTCTCGACTGTATTAAGATATTTTTAAAGGTAAATTTGTCAATGGATGGTTTTCGATGATACATGATAGGAGTCAATGATACACCGGGGAAAGAACAAGTTGTATCACAAAAAATCTTTGCTCGCCATATTGGCTACAACACAACACATATCTTGTGAATGGTTGCACGAATCATGTTATATTTGTCTATTACAATAAATTGAGATCACAAAGCACTTCAGTATTTTGCTAACAGTCATAGACATAATGGACAAATAGAAAACACCTAATTATCATAATACCAGAAACAGACAGTACCTGTCACGAGGTCACTGGGTCAAATATTAACCCAAAATACCAAATAGTATGCAATACGTTTACTACCTCATGTGCGGGTTCTTAACCAATATAAAATTACACAATTTGTGTAACACAAGTATAATTTAGACTGATGGGCTCCAGTAGAGTTCAATATGACTATATGCACATATAAGCAGCAATAATGCACACCGGCCAGTCTTACACATACGACACTACACATGAATTACGTGAAACCATTGTTTATTAGGTACACAAAACATATACTTGCTACAGTTCTCGCCGTCGGTATCGCCCGCCCTTGCAGAGGTACAGCACAACACGCGGCCCTCAACACGCACCAACGCAACTATGTTGTTGGTAAGAGGTGGGGGTTACGATATTTTGCACTGAAGACAGCACGGCAAAGTCGATAACTACCCTACGACCAGGGGAGGAACGGCGTACCCTACTAGTCACGTTTATCAGTGCCAGGCACTCTTTTAAAATGTTACATAAATAAACTGGCCAGGTGGTACTGCTCGCCGCTTCCAGGGTCGTACAAAGCGTAGATGTTGGTCAAGATCTCCAGCAGCAACAACCGAGCACCACGCTGTCTCAGTCTTTAAATACCCTGCCATCACATGGCTAATTGTGTCAATCGCTAATTGGTCCGCGACACCTGTTCATTCATCACACAGATACTTGTCCAGCATTGTCCAAGTGCGACCTCGAGGTCACGTAATAGGTACTTTCTGTACGTGTAGTGACAAATGCGGCTATAAAACCTACCTCTGGGCTGTTATCAATTTATACTATAACAATAAATTAATAAATACAAAATTACATAATAACAAGTGTGTCCTTTTAATAATACAGTTTCTGTTATGATCCAAACACCTCGTGACAGTACCAATAATCATATCCTCGATTCATATCACCAGACTTATGAGATAAGGATATATACAACTTAAACATCGATAAAGCGATAAAGATCTTCCATCAAACAAACTATTTTTAACCGGTTTAACAAAACCGATACTTGAAAAGTTTTGATTGCATAAACCAAAATAAGCCAGATTATCACATCTTTGATTTTGAAGTTGTAATGTTCCAGCTTACTGTCTTCTCTTATCTAGAAGTATCCTATCTGTTATAATGTCGTGATGCATGTTATTTGCACCACCACAGTTGAAATACAGAAATGTTCAGCCAATCAAATTGTTCCTTCTACCTAGTATAGAAATATATAAATTATATTTTGATTATCATGTACCTCGCGATGGGTCTCAAACATAGGGCTGTAGAAAAAGTTTTGTTTGAGGTTTTTCTCATTTTTTTTTATATACTGTTAGATAAGGTGATCTTGCTTTAGCGACAGTCTTGGATACATTTTTATTTTATAGAATAATGTAACAATGATGGCAAATTGTCAACCAGCACTGACTTTTTTCTTCCATGTTTAGTAAAAGGTAATTTAATTATATTAATAAATTATACTATACATGAATTGATAATTTGTCCTAATCTTTGACCACCCAATTGAATCTGCGTCACACTCACAACAAGAGCTCACTTTTCATTTTTAATATGAAATTTCGGTAAATTGCTTGAAATTACAAACTTGAATACATGCAAGCTCAAAAAGATCGCTAAACCTTAATGTTAATTCATAATCAATCCTGGGAAACATGTACATGAATTAACAAATTCCAAACAAAAGAAAGTCTGACAGAGAAAGAATGTAATCATGATAAGATGTGAAAGAAGTGTTTGCTATAAAAACTCGCATTAAGAATTAGCAAATCAAACTTGCCCTTACGAAAACAATAAAGGAATTAAGACAAAGTGCAGATGTAAGTTGGTTGCCGATTGGTTGACTTACTTGGCATACTTTGTTGTGGTAGTACTCTGTGAAGACTCATCTTCATCAAACTCACTTCTGAAAAATGAAAATAAAAATGATTTTATTGTTTTTTTTTTAAAATGAAAATAATAAACATACTACTACCATGTTATTGTGTGTGTGCTGTGTGTGCAAACAAAAAACTAATACACTTAGTGACTTTTTAATAGTAATCTTTTATTATTTTTAATTTTGCAGTTATTAGAAAACATGTACATATATTATAATATGAATGTTTTACTTTTGAATACAAATGTAAAATTAAATTACAAATAATAATTTATTCAAGACTAAGACGAAGCAATGTAGTCATAATTTAATTTTCATACACAACATAATGCGAAAAACAAATCTTCACAAATTTTACAGAAAAATCACACTACAAAAACTCTCAAGTAATCAAATGGTGAATATTTAATGGATGCATCACGAGGCACGTTGTACTTTAACTTTACCATTATTTAGAAAACACTGTAAATTACCTTTGCTCAAACAAATTGTCACAAATGCTTGTAGAATTGAACCTTACATTGAGGTTTATATTGAGTCACAGCATCTATTACGAAACTTCGTTCGCACCAATGTCGCCAAATTACCATATCACGAAAACTGATATTAAACAGTTTACAGAATATTATGATTGTTCCGGTTACTGGCAGTTATGTCCATAAATTATGATTGTTCCGGTTACTGGCAGTTATGTCCATAAAGTTCTACGTGACACACATGTTAAAATTCATGCATACGTTTTATGAATAGTTTCGTTTCACTGTTGTTTATGTAATCAATCTATATGTAGCTCGTGGCAGGCTTGAAAGTCCTACAGACTTCATGAGGAATTGATTAATAGACTTTAATAACCAACGTTACGATAAAGTGCAGATAAAAAACTATATCAGTCGCTGAAATCAGTATCAGGTTTTCAGACCTGGCAAATAATCGTATTTATCATAAAAAGCTTAATTCCTCATTATAAATTCACAACTTTATTAGCGTCTTCAATTTTGGAAGAGAAAAAATTTAGAGAATTTCTCAAATCAGTGAAGATTGTGAAACTTTGTATTAAAGTGGAAATTTTTCTGCTATCCTACAACATGGCGTGAAATTTTGTTTTCACAAATGTCATAAAATTACCAAATCAAAAAATTTCCAGCAGTGAAAATTAAGCCGTTTACAGTAGTGCAAAATACTTTATTTAATTTTTGCTGAAAAAACATATTGGGTGTTTTGTATGGAATTTATTTTCACTGATTTCTGACGAGATGAGTGCAAAATATACGAAAAAAAAAAAGTCTATTTGTGGGATTTTATTTTCACTGAATCATCCCTTTAGCGAAAATGAATTTGAAGCGAAAATAAAATATTTTACAGTATTTCATTTCGGTACTTTAGAGCAGTGGATCAGAGATTTTTACAACCAAGTTCAGATAATTTCAAGTACATGTACCCGGTAATCAAATTTGTGAACATTTATTGAAGCAAAAATGATAGTTGCCCTACTTTGATGAATTCTGATTTGAGAACTCTTATTTCGTGCTGGAATTTCAGCTACAGTGAAAAGACGTAATTAAAGCATAGAGTAAACCTGACAGTTATAATACAAGTAGCGAGCAGACCCTTTTAGATTAATCTCTGCACAAAGAAACGATGATACACATGCCAAGATCTATATGATGGTAACCATGGAAATACTGTTGACAGATGAATTAATAACAACACTTGGTGGTGTATCAAAAGAGTCATTGCTTGAAAACTCTATTATTTGGAATAATTACTTAGGACAACGATTGCCAAAAATGATCTACGATACTAGTATATCATATCACATTTTAATGTTTTCGCAGAGCTGATGCAACCTACCATAGTTAATACTTTTCATCAAACAGACTATAACAGCGAACAGCTTATAATTTAAACATTGTTCCTTTTCTACCAATCAATACTACATATTTGATATTTAAAGTATTGAAATTAAACAGTAACTTTATTAATCATCCAGTTCCTTTCATTTTATGCAAGAAGAACTCCAAACAAATTCATTTTTAACAAAAAGACAGATTCATATCAGACTTTAGTTTGTTTCCAGGGTAGGATGGGTAAATGGGAGTGGGTTGGGGGTGACGACAATCATTTAAGCCAGTCATTGCTATACCTTGTATTAGATATAGGTAACATATACAATGAAGGCAATACACATTGCTTATCAAATGGCTACCAGTCCCTCAGTATAAGTTTCATATCATATTTTGTTATTGATTCACATTACATATCAAGAGGATGTGATTTCACTCATTTCAGTTCAGAGAGTGCTTCTAGGGGCGTGGCATGAGATCACAAATCAACGTTCTGTTGAACAAGTTTTTATTTTGAGATTAGAAGATGTTCTTAGGCCAATAAAATATCATCCGAATTGTAAGTCATTGCGATATTATCTGTATATAATATCTGTGGCAATTTGGTGGTGACCTTCTTGGTTTTAAAAATAGTACAATGGTCTATTCTTTCAGCTGGTGTGTGGAACAAAAATATTATGAATTACGTTTGAATAACTGAACTACATGTAACCAACAGTAATTAGAGATGTTGCATTATGGGAATTGTAATCATGGTCTTACACCAGGTGATGTTGATATTGATGAGTCAGTTTTTCTACTTTGGATATACCGGTACTCACACAGCCACTCCTATGCCAGCTAAAAAGAATTTAAAATTTGTTAAATCCAGATTTAAAAGGGAAGACATTATCAATTTTTATTTTGAAAATAATTAAACCTACAATGGCCAAACAACATGACAAAATTAAAAGCATTTGTGAAAGGCAATTTGCGAAAAAAAAAAAAAAATTATTACTGTAACAATGATAGGTTTTGCTAAGGGTCAAAGGTTGAAACTGGTGCTTTTAAAATCCCCAGTAGAAAAGAGTGATAATGATACAGTTGGGAGAGAAGCATAAAACTAAACACATAATGTGATATTACATGCAACGACGCAATTCATTAAGGAGGCATTAAGTGCTGCCGAAGAGAGCATATTTAAGCTCTAGAGGTCAAGGGGTCAGCATGAGAAGATTTCTAATTTTTTAAAAAAGATTTAATACAGCTCAGTACAGTAGTAGGATTTTTTTTCAGTTCAGCTTCATAAAGTTTTTTTGGGGAGGGGAGGGGAGGGGTAAATTTAAGAGTAGTGGGTATTGTTTTTTTCCATATCTGGGCTCGCATCTTGTTTTTCAAAATTTTCTGCCTTTTTTAGGTCATCTAATTTCTTTATCTCAAAGGTTATTTTTTATTTCAATTTATTGTGAAGTTTTTTTGTAGTTCATTTAATTTTCAACTGATTACAAAATACACACAAATATATCAGTACTAAATATTTGAAGCCAAGATTTTCCTAATTTCAACACCAGAGGGCAGTAACATTATGTCATTTTACTTCCCCTTCACAAGTGTTATTGATTCTAGCCATTTTAAAAATAATATATGTTTCTCACATACAGGCGAAGAGGATATCACTCTAGGGGAGGGGAAATAGACATAAATCTCATTTTCAAGTATTTCACAGAATTTTAGTAAATAAAGTGGACACAATTTTCGCTGCTAGAAATTTGCCCAATTTAATTTAGAAGATTAGCAAATAGTTTAGGTCTGTAGTTACAAAACAACAGTAAATTCTTTTGATCCGCCTATTCTACACCATTGTCAAATTTTGTCACCTTCCACAAAAAACGCTCTTGTTTAAGATTGTTTAACAAAACAATTTTTTCTGATTGCTTCAATATCAACTGAAGTCTGAAAAAATTACATAAACTTGAACTACAATTTTAGAGGAAAAAATGTCTCATGTATAAACACAAAATGCAAATTTGAACATACAAGTATTAAAGTTTGACAAACGTCTTTTTTGAGCTTAAACCTAAAATTCACAAATTTTCACCAAGCTAGGGGGCTTACTGACAGCCATGTTTAGAACATATTTCTTTCAGATATACGATTTGGTTACATTCATAACAGTTAGTATTTATAATTTCACAAATCCCAGGCCAACCATAAAATTCGCGTATATGTATATTTTGTACCATGCATGCTTTGTTGACATATCTAATCACAAGACAAGCTGGCATAAAATTTTTGTTTGCCCACAGGCTGTGTTGATTAAAACTTCACATGGGAAATTAATCAGACATACCATTTTTTTTCTATTGTATTAGAAATGCATCTCCAATAGAAGTGACTTTATTTCAGTTTTATCAGCAAATGTTACCTTCTCGTTTCGTCCTACCTTGAGATGACATGGGAAATGACATCAAAATAGGCTTTAATATAAAGGGGCTGACACTATTTATATAAGTGCATTCATTAATAGACAGAATGCAGTGCAACAGCCTACTCCGAATTTTGATGAATCATTATATGATTTTTATCTGGTCATCATCTTCCATTTTTAACAAGATTGTCTGCATAATGAGTACTCACTCACCACATGGAACTGTGTGACATACAAAAAAAGATCAGTTCAGGAATTTATTGCTTTGAAAGCCATAATTCTCAATGAGTTATTCAAAAAAAAAATTCTAGAGTAATGCAACATCAAAAACATTATATTAATGTTATTTATTTTAAAAAAGCAAATAAATAGAAAAAAAAATCATTTTTCTCTAGTTTCTTTGTTAATTCTGGACATATATAATTTCCGTATAGCCTACAGTACTTGAAAATATTTTTATTTTTTGTTAATCGAAAAACAATTTTGCCTGAAAAAAAAAATTAAATATGGATTCACAAATCAGATTTTGTAGTTGAAATGATGAAAATTGCATAAATGAAATATTCACCAAATTGCTACCTTTTTATCGGGTTCATAAATGTAAGTTACTGGGACTTATAAAAACCAACGGTGCATGGCTTAACCAACAGTAAAACTAATATGTATTTACGCATAGAAAGGCAGCGTAAAAATCAGTTAAAAGTAAGACTTTACTAAGAAATGATATTTAAATTTTCAGTAAAAAATAAAACTACATCTCCCCCCCCCCCCAAATT